CACAAACTGTCGATTGGCTTTACTGGAACATTCATGTTGACGCTGTTTCCTAGTTAATCTCCTTTGATTAAAGTAAAAAGTTTTCGTCTGCCATATGACGAAACATCATCATAGCAAGGTATCATCATTACAACGAAAATGAGGCTAACAATCAAGAAAACGTTCGAAATATTAGCACCTTTTCATCGGAATCGAAGGAGATTACCCCAGAAACAGCGTCACCATGAATGTTCCAGTAAAGCCAATCAACAGCTGGTCAAGAGGAATCCGCTATCGTCTTTTGGTGGAATCGAACTTCGAATCTCTTCACCCAACACTTTCACTCGAGATAGAAGTAAGCTCAACAATTATAAAACAAGAGATCCCTCGAAACCCAACTTTTCTTCGCATAAATGTCTGTATCCATTCCACAACCCGACACGACAACACTTATATAACACACTGAGAGACACTTTTTCTAAGGTTCCCCTGAAGGTGTGATCAGACCAACCTATAAATCCAATTTAATAATAACGGTGAATGCAAAGGGGATGAGAGAAGAAGCGCATACTGCAAAATCCGCCACTACCACTTGGGTCGCTACAGTTCTTAAAAATAAGAAAAATAAATGAGATACTTAATTGAATCATAAGTAGTATGGGTAGATTCTTTTTCTGGATAAATGGAGGCGATTGAGAGAAACTGGCTCGGCGGAGACCAGTCCTGAGGAGTATCGTGTGTATATGTCTGCATGCATATACGTGTGCCATGCATGGTAGAAGATCATAAAGGATTCTGAAGCCTCGACACATCGAAAAGCAGTCTTCTAAATAATGAGGACGGAGAAGTGAATATTGCATAAACTAGGAAGAATAGCTTTCTGGGCCGATTTGCTAAAAATGGAACTGCTTTTTCCTCTCCTAACAACGGCATAAAAATCATACAACCGAAAGCCTAAGGTAAATGGGTCAAATCAAACTCAGTCTGAAATACTTTAATAAGAACTCGAGTCACTCAAAATCGCTTAAGGACCGATAAATGAATTTTCCCTTAATTAAATAGGTAGGTTTAACAAGGCTAGTCAGTTCTGCCTACAAAACGATTTTCTCGTCCAGACTGGGCTAAACTGTAGGTTTGATCTTGCCTGAGTCTTGTCAGCATCCCAAATAAACTTCGAAACCGAATCATGCGTATTAAAGGTAAAATTTACCATATTGCCAGCCATTCGTCGATGTCAAGGGATTCCAGGGAAAATGCAATTTTAGGGACAAATCAGGCATCTGGAAAAGCACATTTATAATGATCTATTATTTTGCCATCGACAAGACTACTTTACTTTAAGTGAGTAGGTTTAGATTTCGACTGAAGAGGGTTACTCACCCTGTACATCGAGAGACTGATGCGCAGAGAATTGTGCAGCTGATCGAGTAGTTTGACAAACTTTTCCTTCTAAAATGGCAATGAAGAATAAGAATATGTAAGGGTAGAAAAAGAGATAATGCATTCAAGTATATGCTACATTACAAGTATATGGATAATTCAACTACTAATAAGGCACAGTCCAAGAGACCAATCGTCTCCAAAGCATAGCTATCCTGTAAAGATAAACCGAATTCCCAAAATTGCGTTTTCCTTTGACTCAAAACTGCGGAAAACCACATTCTATTCCTAAAGAGCACTGGAATCAATGTTAAACAATAAAATTCCATTCAAAATACACCAATGAGGCTTTCGGATGTGGCAGACAGACGTCGAGACGAATCAACGATGCATGTGATTTCGGTTTTTCCTGGACTAGGAAACAAAAGAGACTTATGTAGACTAACAGGATAATCAAAGTGAACCAAAACAACTGGCTACCCCTTAGAATGAAACCGGTAAATATAGCAGGCTCTAATGAACCGGTTTTGATCGTCAGTGTAGCGTTCTTATGCATCGTTTAATGTATGCTGAATCGGCAAAGTTTAATGCATATATTTTTCGTATATAAGTAGAGTGTCGAGACTACCAGTAAATCAATTATATGAGATGTATTCCCCCTATTTCGTTTAAGGTGATGAAGGACTGGTAGTAGAATTTTCCCATAATGATATGAGTAGAGCTGAGGTTTCCATTGGATTTCACACAGCCTTGCTCAAGCTCAAATTCTCCACTGTCACGATTCAACTCCCGCTGGGGGTGTTGATAAGGCCGATGCGAGGTCAAAACTGCAGTTCACTTCAGCCTGGTTGAGAACAACTTTTGGGAAAGCAAGGCTATGTTAAATTCAATGAAAACGTCAGCTCTACTCATATAATTGTGGGTTAATCCTACTACAAGTCCTTCATTGCCTTAAGCGAAATAGGATAAATACATCTAATTTAATGTAGTTTGTGGGCTCAATAAAATATAGTTAAAGAAATGCCCTGGATAGTCTTGAAAAAGAGTATATTAATCTAAGGCTTAAATTTTCCGCCTCCAAACTTCACTTAACCGATATCATAGTAATAACTTACGCAACAGAGGCAAAGGTTGCAAGCGACGCAAGCACCAGGTATGCCAGGGTAATCAAATATAGACAAATAAATAAGTGCCCTTAATGAAAGAGAAGTAGTATATTTAAATATCGTTAAAATGTTAAGGATGAACCCTCGTGGCATGTCGCCAGCCCGACAATTAACTAGTCAATCTGACTCCCCGTAACATGTAGAAATGGTATCAACCAAAGCCTTAACACATATTTCCATTGTTAACGAGAAGTCCAGAAAGATTGAGATTGGATCTAAGAGAAGTAGACTAATTGATACCCAGTGGGCTCCTCTTCAGATTTGACCGCTGTTTCGTCACTGCCTGGATCTAATCACCAGAAGCAGATAGATTATCTCCTAAAACAGACATATAAATAAGGAAAATAAATACTTTATTAACCGTCTTAAACGATGGGGCTGAAGGCATGTGGCAGAGAGAAATTGCCCGTCTCTTCAAGACATCACGGCCAGCTAATCTACCTGTGCCTAGTGCTTTGCGCAGTAAAATATTTGCACCAACTATGAATTCGAGATTATCTACTAACTGGTTGCAAATAAAACGAGCATATGTCTTATAATAGTAAAGGAGGACAAAATATTCGCTCGCGAGTTCATTAAATAGTTTGGCACTCATCACATATAGCATTTCCCTCTATCTTTCACATATGCATTTGTGTGCGTGTTTATGTATGTATGTTTGAATATATGATGTATGTATGTATGTATGTATGTATATACGTATGTATATGGAGTGTTAGTCTATCTACGGTGTTGCTATTCCCCCAGAATCGGATCCTTCGATAGCCTAGAAATCGCTCTCAGGACAGCATTGGTGATAGGAACTTGATAATGCTAATCAGAAAATATCATAAGACAACCTGTCTCCTCTCAGTAATTACCACATTGAGATAACTGCTTTTCCTTTCATGCGAATAACAAATTGAATTAAGGCAAACAAAAATATTCTATATGAAGACCAAGATGTTGTGGCTTCTGTTATGGTCGCATTGTTCTTTCGATTTATAGAAATGGGTTGACTTCGTTGTTGCAACTTGGTCTTGTTGTCAGGGAGACTATGTAGAACGCACCTAGTCCGAAGTCGTCTGTCATAGGGGTTGTCATGATTCCCAGCATCTGACAGTGGACTTGATACATCCTCAAACGTTTCGCCGGCATCGTAGTCGACATCATCATTGAGCTTTGCCATTCTCCGTGAGAAGTTTTGATAAGGCGGCAGTGGGATAAGAGTGTAAAGAGTAGATAGATACACAATGAAAGAAAGAGGAGTGATAATGTAACCTTTTTCGGCAGAACGGTTGTGGAGGTATTGACTTCACTTGTCTCTTTGACAAGTTCGTAGCTTGTTGCGGAGAATGGCAAAGCTCACTAATTATGCCGACTACGATGCCGGCGAAACGTTAGAGAATGTATCAAGTCCACTGTCATATGCTGGGAGTCATGACAACTAATATGGCAGACGAATTCGGGCTAGGTGCGTTCTACATAGTCGCCCTGACAACAATAACAAGTTGCGACGAGGTCAACCCACTTCTAAAAATATTCTAATTTTTTTATCAGCAATTCATCAACAGTTCAATTGGTGGTCGGGAATAAATCGGAGGAGAGAAAGAGAGAAAGGGAGAGAGGAAGAGTTGTTCCTCTGATCCCGGATGCGACATGATGAAAAAAGGAGAGGCCAAGCCACGTTTGCCAAGCAATAGGCTTCAAGGCAGAGGATATAACGGACTAAATTATCAAAGCGACTGCTCGAAGTTCAGCTTTTATCCACAAATAATCACTAGTTGCCGTGGCGAGGATGCAACTTACGCCAAAGTTACTGGCGCTGAAGCGCTCCGAGGCACTCTGGTTGCTGGAGGCCGATGTGTGCGCGTAGAAAGCGTTGATGTTGGCGAGTAGACTGGACATGGTGGCCGGCACTCCGGTGCACATGAACTTCGTGGTCAAGCAGGAGAAATGGCTGTCAGATGGGGCCAGCGTCGACAAGCAAACAAAATGTCAGATCATCAGAGGGAGAACCGGAAATAGGATGTAGAGAGGGGGAGGAACGGATGAAAGAAATGGCGAAGATAGGAGTAATGAAGAAGGGAATATGGAAGAGAGAAAACCAGCATTATAGTAAAACGAGTCAAGGAGACCAGAATAGAAACCTGTTTCGACTGATATCTGATTGGACTTCCAGTGATTCTGATCACGAGAAACTGAAAAGCATGCTTTAATTTTGCACTTGACTCAGCTTCGTCAGCTTATCAGCATTCCCAACGGGGTTCGAATTTTAAATGAGGGGATGAATAGGCAAGGTAGTTGGCATTTAAGATAAAGCAAACTTCCCATATCCCGGCTCATTTCGTGGGGAGTAAATATCGAAAATAAAATGTGAATTCGCCAGTAAACTCGTTATACTACTTGTTTTCTTGTCGGTAAGAAGATGGTTTCACAATTATTAGGAGGCCCGTTTTGCTTTAAGTCATGCTTGTTGGGTTGCACAGCGAAGCCGGCGTCGCAAGGGTCATTCTATAGATAACTCACTCCAACAAGAATAGCTGAGTAAAAGAAGACATAGATTATATGGTCAATTCATTTTAATGTCAAGGTAAGTATTTGCATAATTGAATTTATGAACAAAGAACAACTGCGTTTCGATGAATCTCCTAGGATAGAACAGTTAAGAAGAGTTTGATTTCGTATGCAAGGGCATGATGAAAAGATTTGAAGGTTGATCTTACCAGAAGACGACAGCTGAAGCCTGTTGTACTGCAACCGTTTGGCTTTAATATGAAGTTAAGGTTGACGCAGTCCACGAGACATCCTCCCTCGCTTTGGGTGAAAACGGGCTGAGCTTCCATCCATTATCAGCTGGACATCAGAGCTGGAACTCATTGTTTTAAAAGTCCCACGCTAACACTTGGACAACAAGACTGTCCGGCTCTATCTTAGCTCTTATATAGACTTAAGTAAGCAAAATAAAATTAAAATTCATACTTAGATATAGAATGGTTTAACCAATTATTTTTCATATTGGTCCTGCTACTTTTGAGTGTGTGTGTGTGTCTGTGTGTGTGTGCATATGTATTAATGTTGAAGATTGAGCTATGAAGAAAAAGTGATGCAGGCTTCGGATGACATTACCATATACAAGATAATCAATAGGGACCCTACGGAAACCCTTAAGTCTAGAAGCATTGTGTAGCAAGCGGGGATCTGGAGGCGTGGAAGATGGACACTCATCTTCAACGAGATGCTATGCCTCCAAATGCATATGGTCTGCCCAAAATGCATAAAGATTGAGTGCTATTTAGAATTATTGTGAATAATAAGAGATGCGTGATGCATGAAGCATCACGATCTATTTGTAACCAGTTAAAGGATATCTCCGAGACACTGCAAACTTCTGTTAAGCATTCTTATGAATTTGTTAACTTAGTCGATGAGCAGGAGATAGAAAGTGGGGATTTGCTGGTAAGTTTTGATGTTGAGTTTATGTACACCAACATTTCTGTAGACGGTAGCACGCAGGCTCTGCAGTACACACTAGACCAACACCCGTAGAGTTTAGGGAGTACGAAGTTAAGTAAAGTACAAATAATGATACTGACCAGCCTGGTGATGCACAGTACATATTCTACCTGTAATGGTAAACTGTACAAACAAACACGAGGTTTAGCTATGGGATCGTGTTTGCACCAACTTTAGCAAATAATTACATGGCACTTGAAGTCTCAAAATAATTAGCTCGCTATAAGGAAGGTTACTTTGTCGTTCGGTAACATTAAAAATAAAGATGTGAAGACCAAGATGTTGTGGCTTCGGGTATGGTCGCATTCTCCTTTTGACTTATAGAAGTGGGCTGACCTCGTTGTCGCAACTTGGTTTTGTGGTCAGGGCGACTATGTAGAACGCACCGAGTCCGAAGTCGTCTGCCATAGTAGTTGTCTGGAGTCCCAGCATCTGATAGTGGACTTGATACATTCTCAAACGTTTCGCCGAGTTCGTATCTTGGTGCGAAGAATGGCAAGGCCCACGATGATGCCGACTACGATGCCGGCGAAACGTTTGAGAATGTATCAAGTCCACTATCAGATGCTGGGAATCCAGACAACTACTATGGCAGACGACTTCGGACTCGGTACGTTTTACATAGTCTCCCTGAGCATAAGACCAAGTTGCGACGAGGTCAACCCACGTCTATGAAAAATAAAACCTGGATAATTTAACACACACGCACACAAGAAACTAGCGCATGGGAAGTCATAGACTTGGTATTAGAGATAGAAAGAAGATAGACGCAGTGGCGATTGGAGCTAGTGGGCTGACAGTATGTTTTATAAGAGACATGGTCCATGTGACAAAGGCCTGACCATGAGACTCACTCAGAGGCTTTAGCTTCGAATTAGTCATCCAGACGCAGGGGAGGGCGAATAACGCCTCGAGTGGCACAGATGGGGTGGCAAGGGTCGAGTGAAATATGTGAATCAGGGAGAGGGCAGACGGATCTTACGGGCAAGAGAGAGACTGTGATAGGACCTAGGGAGGGAGGACTGCGTAACAATATGGCAGACTTTGATCCACATTCCCAGCACAAGGATGAAAGGGGTGAGAAGGCCAGTTGGAGTGCGGAGGGTTCTCATGAAAGCCGCCAAAAGGGCACACCGTACCACATTTAATTAAGCAAGTAAAACATTGTGACAGTGACGACGTGATAGGAGGATATAGGAAATGTGCATAGGCCAAGGCAGAAGGGGAGATACCATAACTGTTTAACACACGTTTGGTCAAAGGATCGACTTCCCTTGTCTCTTTGACGAGTTGTAATATGGTGCTACGAATGGTAAAACTCACTGATGATGCCGACTACGATGCCGGCGAAACGTCTAAGAATGTACCACGTCA